AGCGAATTCCTCGTGCCTTAACGTGGGGTCCTGTTGCGTTCTAGGAAGCAGCAGCTCTGTAACTAATGTCATGAGCTTCCCAGGGATCTTGAGATAATTAACAAATACTGAGCTTTAGAAACAACACCTGAGGTTGAAGACAATAACGTGAAGATAGCTTTTTAATACTAGGATAGTGTGGACATACATCCCGATTTATTTCTCGTGTCCCAGACTGTCCTGTACACTCCATGAGGTCAGTCTGGGAACAGGCACGCCACACCGAGGCCACGGAGAAGGAGCTGTGGCCGGCGGCCGCGTGCCCGGCTCCCGGGCCGCTGCAGCCCAGAGAACGGCAGGCTTTGGCCAGCCTGGGCAGGCTGGGGCAGAGCACGTGGGCTTGGGCAGCGCTGCCTCTGTCCCCTTTTCTCTGCGTCATCCTGCGGGAAAGTAAAGCTTAATGTGTCTAAACACCATCTCAGTTTCATTAAGAGAGAAGGTCGCCTGTTGGAGTGACTGGGAAGCTTGCGCTTGCGGCCGAGCAGAGATGTGCGCCTGTGTGGCTGGTACCTCGTCCGGTTATTTAGAGTAGTCCGTTCATACGTGTTTCTGCACACGCGTCTCCCTCCATCCGACTCGCGACTATCCCGAGTCACCAGGACGCAGGGTTGTCCACCCCTAGTCCCAGCCAGCGCATACAACACGGTCACTTTCGCATGGCCCACAGGGGATTGTCCGGGGGTGTCGGGTCCCTGTCTCTGCGAGTTCCGCCCCGGAGCGAGCAGGAGGGGTAGAGGCACGTGCGGGACCCATGCCTGTTTTGCAGGGTCCCCACTCCTGGTGGGCTGGGCCGCCCACCTTTCCAGGCGTCTGTTCTCCCACACCGTCCCCCTCAGCTGCCTTAGGTCTCCTCAGCTCCTCGTGGGCCTGCGTCTTTGGGTGAGTGATGGGAACAGTTTCCAGGGTGTTTGATGTGATCCGTGTGGGCCTTTTGTTTGAGAGACTTCAGTAGTTAATTCACCATAAAATGAGGTTTTTGTCTTTACACGCTTGTTTTTCAAGTCTTTCTTAAGATCCTGAAATATGTATTCTAGCAACTTTTAAACAGTATATATAAAGTAAGTGTATATAAATAGTATATATAAAGTAAGTTCGTTGCAGATAACTGGTTTTCAAAAAGTGCGTAGTTACCTTTTATAAGAGAAAGCCCTGGAAAGGTGTCCATTGTTCTGAAGCAGATACGTCTATGTGAGTAAAACAGAACGAGGGAGACCAAGTTGAAGCATAACTTGAGTAAGACCAGATTCTGACATGTATCCACAATTTTAGCTTGGCCGTGCAGATGTTTCTGAACCTTCCAAACACCTGGCAGAGCGGGCACGCGCGTTGGTTGGCCGTCCGCCACGCTGGAGGAGCGAGGAGACTTCTTTCCGGTCAGCGGCACTGCTGACGCTTTATGGGTCACTTCGCGGCCTCCGAGGCAGTGATGGTACTTTGGCGGTCAGACCTAAAATACCTGATTTTTTAAGTTCCTGTCTTTCTCTTGAAAATGTATGATGCAGAGTCAAAGGCCTGAAATGTTTTCAGAGGAAAATTTAATACTAACGATTCTAACAGATTCGTGCATCAACACGGAGTACGCGCAGCCAAGTGAATATAGCGGTGACGCCTGAACGTAGCTGCTTAGAATTAGCTCTGTGCTTTCTGCTAAATTCCTTTAGCTCAAACCCCGTGTGTCACCTCCAAGGACCTTGCAGGGAATAACCTGTTGATGAAGCTGTTGCTTTGTTTAGTTAGCTGTCGCTACACTGTTTCTGTATTTGATCGAGACCCGAGACCTGCATGTGAGCTCCTTGGGAGTATGTGACCGACGGATCGCGGGTCTGGGGTTGAAGCTGCTCCATGTCGGAACGTTCCCTCTGTCAGTCACAGGCTTTGTCCCTCGGTGTCCCTGCGGCCTTGCGGTCGGTGCAGAGCAGCTCACGGCCCCGTGGGGGTGCCCGCTGCCTGGGAGGGGAGGCGTGAGCAGCCCCGTCCCCGAACGGGACTGGCGGGGGGCAGGAGGGCAGGCCCTTGACCCTTTTTGTAAGGAGAGGCTGCAGTTGTCCGGCCTTGCCGGGAGGTGGGTCGGGGCGCCACCCAGTTGTTGGTGGGGAAAATCAAAGTTTTCGTGAGTTAAATACGTCTCACCACCTGCCTTTCCTTGGAAAGGAATATTCTTTCCTGGAATAAGCTGAAAACCTGGTGTTTCTGAATTAATGCATTTTTTAAAATTTAACGTTTAAGTTGCCATTACATCCCTGTAGTTCCAAGTTCACAAAGTCTAAAAGCTGCCGTGAGAGCACCGTCAGGGTTCCCACAGACCCCGCTTTCCCCCTGGCTGTGGCCAGTGCCAGGTTCCTGCGGCAGGTGGGCTGGCCGTTGGGGAAACGGCGCCCTCACACCCAGTGGCTCTTGTCCTACCCACCGGCCCATGCTGAGCTGTTGAGACTCGCCCAGGAAAGCACAGCACTCCTCTGCTCTTGCCCAGATGTGTGGGGGCCACACTGAGTGGCTCCGACACTGCCTGGACCCGCACATCCACACCCGTCAGATGCCAGGCACGAGGAGGAGGTCCCGGGTTGTCCCCCATACTTGTGACCGACCAGCTGCGAATTGGGGTTCCATCATTTGCTAGGGCAGCTCCGGAAGTCAGGGACACTCTTGCTTACGCTGAGTGGCTTACCGTGTCATAAAGGATGTGACAGGACACAGGGGAACGGCCAGATGAAGAGCCCGCTGGGTGAGGTCCCAGCGGGTCCTGAGCGTAGGAGCTTCTGTCCCCGTGGAGTTGGGAGCAGGCCACCCTGCCGGGACGTCGGTGCATTCGCCAACCCAGGAGCTCCCGCACCCCGCACTTTGGGGATCTTTGTGGAGGAGGCGTGATGGGTCATGAGCTCAGTCTCCAGCCCCCTCCCCTCCCTGAGGACGGGTGTGGGGCTGTAGGCCCCAGGCGTCTGCTCTGGCTGGGCTCTGGTGACCAGCCCTATCCAGAAGCCCACCTGCAGTTGCCTCATTAGGAAAAAGGATGATGCTGTCAGCCATCAGGTTGAAGGGGCTTGGGGGCTCTGTCAGGAACCAGGGACAGAGACCAATAAGCATCTCCTCCTGTTGTACCCACTTTAAGCAGCTTTAAAGATCAGATAAGGGGCGCCTGGGGGCTCAGTCAGGTAAGCGTCTGACTCTCCATTTTAGCTCGGGTCATGATCTCACGGTTCATGGTTTCGAGCCCCACGTTGGGCTCTGTGCTGACAGCACGGAGCCTGCTTGAGATTCTCTCTCTCCGTACCTCTCTGTCCTTCCCCTGCGCACGCACTGGAACTCTCTTGCTTTCTCTCTCAGTATAAATAAGCAAACTTAAAAAAAATACTTTCAGATGAATGAAAATAAAAACCAACAAAACATACTAAAGATCAGATAAACTTGTTAAATACTGATCCAGTTCAAGGTCATAAAAATGTTACTGTGTTGGCTTACAGGGTTTTTGATACCACTGCTTTTTCTGAGTAAAGTTTCTACACGTGGACTCTGTTACTCAGGTATTTTGGCGGGGGGGGGGGGGGGACATCTTCAGCTCTGAGTCATGGTACTGAGGGCTGAGCGACACATAGTGTTAGTATGGTCGTCTCCAAACTCCACTTTGTGCCGTTTTAAATAAGTTGACGTTACCATCTTGACACAGTCTGGCACTTCTCAGGCGTTCGTCCAGGTGTTCAGGACGTCACAGAGGTGTTGCCTCAGAGCTTCAGAACCTGGGAGTGGAGTCCAGAAATGTCTGCCTGCCGGGCTCGGCTGCTGTGACCTCGAATGGGTCTGTGAAAGGCTGGCTGTGCTGCCCGTGGGCTGCGCGACCCCCAGCCCACCCGACGGGGGGCCGTACAATTTCTCCATCACATATTAACTTAGAACCAAGAAAAAGAACAGTATCAGCTCCACCAGTGAAGCATCGCTTTCTGAGAAAACAGTGTTCCAAGAGCAGAATTGGAGGCGGGTGCTCGGAACCCAGAGGAATCGGCACGACGCATGACGTGTCTGCAGTGGCCGTGTGCTGTCTCCTTTTCCTTCCCTTCTTCTCTCCTGTCCACCTGATTTTTGTCTCATCCGGTGTCTTTGCTGAAAGAGTGGTGGATCTGAGAGAAAGGCACGGAGACCAAGGTCAGACAGGTGGAAAGCAGGACCCAATCTAGAACCCCATCTTCTGTCTCCAGGCTCCCCCAAATGTGGCGTCACTGCTCCTTCCGCCATTCGACGGCTGTTAGGAGGCAACTTCCATCCCCTCGGTGGGCGTCCCTGGGGGCCCGGCACTCGGGTTGCTGGGCAGCCGACCTCCCCCAGGCTGCAGGGGAGCAGGGAGCGCTGACCCTGGGCCGTGGCCGTTAGTTCCCGTCACCCTCCCGTGGCACGTCCGTGAAGGTTAAATGTGAGGTCTGTGGGAGAAAAGAAGCGCCCTGGAGCAGGCAGGGGGACGGGCACCCTCTGTTGAGCCTCTGGGGACACAGCTGGGCCCCACTGGCAGAGGCCGCCGTCCCCCTCCCCAGACTCCAGAGTGCCTCCTGGAACGCAGTCGAGTGCGGCTTCCTGATCATGAGCATTTTAACAGAAAGCTTCGATCCTTCACCGCAGCGTTCGTCAGTGCACTGGAGAGAGAATACTGTTAGAGTCTTGCCGCTGAGAAGTGACTGTCGGGCTGTCCGCATGTCCTGCCCCAGGGTCACACTTGGGGTCCTGGGATCCCAGGGGGCCCCCCCCCCCCCCCGCTAGAGGGACGGCCTGGGCCTTTTCTGCTTTCTTGGCCCACCTCACGTGCCAGCTGCAAAGGTCTGGGCCGTCACCCATCTCGGACTCGGCCTGGCACGCACCTAGACTCGCAGCTATGCCCAAGGCGAGCGCACGTGGTCGGGACCAGATGGGGCCGCGCCGCCCTGCCGTGGGGGTCGGGTCGTAGGCGTCGGGTGTGTGCCCTGACTCTCCCCCTTTGCCAGGTGGATGACATCCTAGGAGAGGGCAGTGATGACAGCGACAGCGAGAAGAGGAGGCCGGAGGAGGAGGGGCCGCAGGAGCGGCCACTGCCCCGGGAGCCCCGGGCCACGCTCGAGGCCACAGCATCCAGCGAGAGGAGCACAGCAGACAGCCGGGGGCCCAGGTGAGGCGGTGCGGGTGAGGGCCCGGTGAGGGGGGCAGGTGAGGGCCGGCCCAGGCGAGGTCTGCAGGCGCGATGCGGTAACGTGACAGATTCTTCAGGCTTTAGCATTTCAGAACGTTATGTTTACGGTGACGCGAATTTTTATCACAGTCTTTATTGTTTCAGTTGCTACTCACGGAGATCTGAGTCTTTCCCCCGTGTAAGTGTAAGTGGTAAGACGTCCGCCTGCCTGACCCGGGCAGCCCTGCCGCGGAGGGCAGGACGACGCCATGGCCAGCACGTTTTGACGCAGTTGGTGATTTTTCACGTGCCCAGCTGTGTTATGGCGCGGGTGACCCGACCGTGCCTGCTGGTGGTGGCTCGGTGTCCACGTGACTGCATCTTGTCCCGGACCAAACAGCGCGCCAGGATTCTACGTCTTTTCTGAAGCACCTTTCTGTCTCGCTTGGATTTGATCATCGCATCGTGTTCTCTTGGCTCAGTTTCCTTCCTTTTTGCCTTTTTCTAAGTATTCTCCCCACCGCGGCTCAATTCTGTGTGCCCGGAGCCAGAACCGCTGTCCCGAGTGTCCCGAGCCTCCCCTTTGGGCCCTACTGCCTGCTGGGGACTGTCGTCTCCCTCCGCCTCCGGAGACGCCTTCACCGTTCCCCGGCTCCAACATCTTGTTTCTTTGCTCTCTTACTTTGGTGGACTAGATGCATCTTCCAGGAGCTTCGTGGACCAGGGTGCGTGGGAGGCAAACGAATTTGGCACATCAGGAGATGCCTTCCTCACTCTGTCCACACTTGCTTGACCGCGGGGCAGGCGCTCCGTAGCCTGGGGAGGGAGTCGTGTCCCTCAGAGTCCAGACGGCTTTGCTCCGGGGCTGTCTGCGTGTGGCGTTGGCGGGGCACCTGGTGCTGCGCGAGCCTCTCTCCCCTGCTGACGGGCATCTCCGTCCCGCCCCTCGTGTTCGGGAGTGTTGGGCACCACCTGTGCGAGCAGACGGCTGCTCGTGCCAGGCCGGGGGTTCCTCGCAGGGCCTGACCCTGCCGTCGTGAGAAGCGAGTAGACACGCGTCCCCGGTATCAGGTTTCAGAACCGCGTCTGGAGCCTCCTGTGAGCCATGCGACCGTGGGCGAGTCCTTGAACCTCCCCGTGTCTTCAGTTTCCCCTTTGAAATGGGGGCGTTGGCAGGCCGGCACAGCCTGTGCACGTAGCTGCACATAACAGCCCCCCTCCCTTGCTCGTGTGGGGGCTCTTTTCTTTATAAGCCACCTGGTCTGACCCGAAGACGTTCTGTAGGTGAGTAAGTGCTTTTGAAGAGAGTTTGGTGTACTGGAGCCAGTCCACTTAGAAGACAGGATCGGGCCAGAAATTCTAGCAGCACACGGAGGGGACATAGAGATGCGTTGTCCATGTGTCGGAATTTTATTCGGAGAAGGTCCGTGCGTCCGCAGCTGTGCTACGGGGCCACCCTGCTGGTCCCACGGCAGACTTTTCCAGCCACGTTGAAGTGCTGTCCGGTCGTCTTAGGACGCAACTTTGATGAGAAGCACGATGCTTGTGCTGAGCTGTGTCGCCTTCTCCATACAGAGGTCCCGCTGGGGTTTCCGAGGAGCCGACCTCCCACCCACTCTGAGGACCTCTGTGGTGGTGCCGGCTGATGCCAAGGGTGGTGATGGCTTCTCGGGGATGGGGAGCGCACTCTGGTTGAGCTTGTTTTCTCTGTCACGTAGGAAATAAATTCAGAGCAGTTTTCACAAAGACCCAGAAAGGCCTGGCTGGAGCCCGCAGGAAGGAGCCTGTGCTCGTGGGGCAGTGGACGCAGGCGCTGGGCAGGCCGAGAGTGCCCATCTGCTCCGGTGTGCCCAGAAACAAGAGGCACCGGGGCTTGCTGGAAAGAGCCTTTGCTTTGATGTGGTTTGGGTGCTGGCCGTCTGGACGGGACCGCGGAGCAGCGCGGTTCTGGTCCCGAGGGGCTGGGTGTCCTGTGTCTCGGCGGTCAGCCCTGTGCAGGCAGAGGAAGCCCGGCGTCCGGCCCATCCTGTGGACAGCGTCCACGCAGGAGGTGCCGACATGGCCACAGGAGCTTGAGGTCCTCAGGTGTGTGGTGGTGGGTGCCGCGGGCTGAGCCCCCAGTGGGCGCCAGGCGTCCTGGGAGCCCGGCCCCTAAGCCTCCGGAGAGCTGGGGAGTAAGTCAGAGTCTCTCACTTCCCACAGCGCTTTCTTCCACCTGCCACCCAGACGGCAACCGCTCCTCCCCAGAGAGCCGTCGGCTGGCCGCCCCCACCCCCCCCCCCCCCCCCCCCCCCCGGCCTGTCCCTGACGCTTTGGAACTCGGACGTGTGGCTGTCGGAAAAGCTTCAGTGTTTCCAGACGTGCCTCACGGCTCTGACCCTTCACTGGGGTCGGACGGACGGGGTGCACGGCGGGTCCCAATCAGCTGCCGTGGGGGACTTGGGCGTGGGGGCCTCGTTTCTTTCTTTGCCAGGGAAGTTGGCGAGTGTGGTTTTCTGGCTGTATTTTACTCTCGTTTAATGGTACTAGAGGTGGAGTGAAGTTTGTTTAAGTTTTTACATGATGGTATTTTTATTTGAAGTTAAAACGTTTTGGGGTTTTTTGTGTTGTGTTTTGCACGTGGGAGGCCTTTGTTTCATGATTTCCCCGCGTGTGATGACAGTGATGCAGGTCTGGCTCCCACGGGAAGGTCTGCTCGGCATCGCCTCCTGCTGGTTCCACGAGGCCAAGTGGCTCCATGGATCTTGTCCCTTGAACCTGAAAGCCAGTTTTACTGGAAGGAGAAGGGTGGTAGTTGTTACTTGTCTACCAAGAAATGATTCATTGTTTTTTCAGATCAGCGACATCGGATGCCGTTTTATTCACAGTGCTTGTGGGGTACGCTCGCTCCTTGAGGTCAGTCTCTAAGATGAAAAAGTCAAGTATATGTTTGAAAAGCATTTGCTCAAATGAGTTACCTTCAAATTGTTTGCGACACCGTACAGATGCATCATTGTCCCCACCACTTGGTGAGGCGGCTGGCACGGACACGGTGGCCCGGGTCTCGCACTGGGACCCTCTGCGGCACTCTGTGCTCGCATTCGGCAGAGGCGACTTAGAACTCGATGTAAGACTCTACTTCCATCGCTTCTAGAGTTAGCAGACACGCGTAAAGGACAGTATTTCTGCCAAACCAATTATTAATTCGTTAACAGCCAAAGAACATAGCATAACGTGGTTGGTAACTCTCACGTTACAGAAATCCACGGCTGACGGCTAATCGCTGACACACGTCCCAGGCTCACACCACCTAGTCCCGCTGGCTCTCTCCCCCTTTCCAGCCTGCGCTGCAGACGTACGGACAGCTGGGGGGGCTCTCCCACAGTCTGTGCAGGTCTCGTCCTTCCAGAAGGTTCCCCCAGTCTCACTGCAGCGTCGGGACAGACGGCACTAAAATGCTCTGGGGCACTGGCACACATGAAAGGTGCTTGTGGTGTCGGCGGACCCGGGCGGGGTCCCCTTCAGCCCCGGGCAGGCGTGTGGCCGGGACAGAAGTCTGGGGCGTTGCTGACCCGAGGACGTCCTGTCCTGTGGAAGCTAGTGGGTCATCTCCCCCATGTGGCCAGCGGTGGCTCTGGCACCTGGGGTGTAATATAGGATGTGCACCCCCTGTGTTCCCTGCAGTGGGGTCATGGCCCTGCCCCCTAACCTTGCTCTAGGAGCCACCTCCCCTGTGTCTCGTACGTGGTTTTGTCTCCTGTTTCACACGAAGCTGGAGTGAACACCACGTGTGCTGGTCGTGCTGGTGTGTGGGTGTGCTCCTCACGTGCGTTTCTAGGCCGGCACTTGGTGGCCTCGTGCCTCCGTGGAAGGCCGAATGGTTTTCCGTGAGAGCAGGTGATGACGCTCATTTGCTGTGGCACAGTGTTTGGTGGCAGCTAACGGCCAACACGACAGGTGAATGTTGGTGTCGCCGTGGCTTCATTTTAACGTGCTTTTCTCTTCTGACGGGCTGTGCCCTGGGCCTCAGACGGAGGAAAAGGAGCTCGCCGGTCACCAGGCCGCAGCAGCTGCCCTGGCCAGAGAGGCGGGACCCGACCGCTTCCACTCAAGGGAAGACGCCCAGGAGCGCGGCCCGACGTCCGAGCTCACAGAGCGACTCCCGGCGGCCACCCCAGGCGCGCTCCGGGCCGGAGGAGCCGTGCGGGAGGACGAGAGCTAGTACACGGACAGCGCTGAGAAGGGCAGCGAGGAAGAAGATGTGCTCCGGGGGTCCGTCCGAACCACGGAAGAGAGAACGAGCAGGGGAGCGCGCGCTCAGAGACGCGGGGCCCCGGTTAGCGCACCGACCTTCCCACAGCGGGAGCCGTCGGAGCGCGGAGGGGAGGGGCAGGGGCAGAAAACCTCCCAGATCGGAGAGAAGACGTTCTAACACTTCCCGAAATCTTGATGGACTCCAAGCGGGCTCAGCACAGAGAGCCACACCCAGACGCATCTCGGTGGAAGCGCGCAAGGCAGACAAGGGCGCCGCGGGCCTTGCCGGCAGCCGCTTCTCATCAGACGCCGCCCAGGCCCCAGGCCCCGGGGCGGCACGCTGCCACACGGGAGAGAAGGCCAGAGAGAAGGCCGTCAGCCAGGCGGAGCTGTGGCGCAAACGAAGCTCGGAGAAGACGTCCCGGCCGAGAACTGAGAGAACTCGCTGCCCTCGCGGGAAACCCCAAAGGGAGCTCCTCGGTCACGGAGCCGATGACCCGGACAGAGCTGAGAACCCTCATCCACGCGGATGGCAGCGAGCCCCGTGAGGGTGAGCGGGCGATCGGCAGGCAGGAAGAATTCCGAGTTCTCTCCTTTCTTCACCGAGTGGAGAGAAAAAGCAGTTGAGTGAGGCAGCGTGGACGCAACCGTCGGGCCCGTGGCGTGGAGAAGCGCGATGCTTGCCGGCGCCCGCGCCGAGGCCGTGGGAACGAGAGGCTTCGGGAGACGTGGCGAGCGGGCGGGCCGGCGGGACGTGCTGTGAGCCTCTCCCCTCAGCCGCTCCGCAGGACGCAAAGGGACGGAAGGTAGCGACCGTGGCCGCGTGCGGCACGCGTAGGTGGACCGTGCGTGACAGGAGTAGTGCAGGAAGGAAGCACGGGTTCTGAGCCGGGCGGCGAGTCTGCACCGGCGTGCGACCAGGGAAACCGCCGTCGGTTGTGAGGGCGTGACGCGGGGTCCTGGCGGGGAAGGAAGTCCGAGGGGACGGGACGGCCCCCGTCCTGGGGCGTCACGTGGGGTGTGCTGGTTTCGTGCGGAGGAGGCAGGAAGGAAGGAGCAGGATCAGAAGTGCACGAGGGCCGGGGTGAACGTGCACGTAACCAGCATGAGTGGGTCGTGTGACCCGTGACCCGAGAACAGATGGTGACCCGTTTGCCGGTCACGGGGAGGACTCCTTCCTCAGGGCCCTGCACAGTGTGGGGTCGCAGCGAGCGCCCGTGAGCCCACCCGCCTGCCGACAGAGGTGCCCGTGAGGCTGCACGAGGACGTGAGGACGTGGACGGGGAGGTGACGAAGAGGGGCACCGGCGGCCGTCCTGCCCTTCCCTGCGAGGTGTTAGAAGTCGTCTCATTACGTGTAACTTCGCGTCAGTCGTCAGGCTTTCCAAAACCAGTCACGTCGAAGGGGATCCAAACGCTTGTGCTTTGGGGACCGTCCCTCCCCCGCCCTGACACCTGCGTGTTGACTGCCGACCACGGGTCCCTGAAGGCACGCGTGCTGAAGCCGCTGCCTGCGTGGGCCGTCCCACGAGGGCGCTTGTCGGAAAGCGGGGGCTCCCGTAGGTCTCGAGACGCTTGTGGAAATTTCACCTCGGACTGGCGTTCGGTGACAGGAGCCTGCCTGTCCGTCGGGAAAGCAGCACAGCCTTCTTGCCGCCCGTCAGGCTGGGGCGCCCGGAGCCCCGAGCCCACCTCTTGTTCACCCGCGTTTGGGGAGCGTGCTCCATGCGGGATTGTGGCAAAACCACCGAATCAAGTATGCTGTTTTTTAACCTTGCCCATCTGTCAGAGTGAGAGGCCTCGATTTTGTTCCGGGCCCTTCCGTGTCCTGGTCGCACAGAGCAGGGCTTCTTGTGCTCATCCGTGTCCAGGACTCACTGAGGACACGCTTCATGCCCCAGCCGCCACTCCCGTCATCTACTCGATAAGCCTGATTGCCGGGCAACCAGGTTACTCCGGGTTAGGTACTCACTCGCACTCGCACTCGCTAAGCCTGGCTTCCCTGAGCGAGACACCCGTCCTGCCCAGGATAGGTGAGTCCTGCTGCCGGGCCAGGTGGAGCCAGCACCCTGGGGGCCACCGCCGCTGTGACGGCACGAAGCACGCGTTCGGGGTTGGCTGCCCCCCCCCCCCCCCCCCCCGCGGCCCGGGCAAGGCCCGAGCCCGTGGGTCAGGTGACCTGGTTGCCTGTGTCCCCACTCACGGCGAGGAGTGGGTTCCCTGCAGTTGTGCCTGAGGCGCCGGCCGCTGCTGGCATCCGTCCTCATAGGTGAGCAGGCGCCCACTGTGCCCACTGGTGCCCACGCTTGCTTCGCGCCGTGCACGTGTTCGGTCCGTCTTGCGCGTCACCGTTCCGCAGGATGCAGACCGGGCTGTCCCGCACCCGCACACACAGGAGAAGGGCTTGTTAGTCGAGACGGTGACCTCGCCGCATACAGCCCTGTGGCTTTTTTTCTGCCGGGAAACCAAGCGGGTTTAACCGGTGAGCTGAAAAGTACATGCCCTGTGGGCGCCGTTTGGGGGTCCTCCTTGGTCAGATGCCGGCGTGTGTTTGCCTTGGTCCCTGAGACATCCACGTCCGTAACTCGGCGCGCTTGGGGCGCCAGTGGAAGTGTGTACTCGGAAGCTGCAGCGTCCGGGAGGAAGTTTGTTCCTGTTCGTGCTATTTCCCGCCTTGAGCGTGGGAGGGTTTTTTCCACCCTGAACATGAGAGGGTTTCCAGCTCTCAGTTTTGTCCACGTTAAATCTGTTTGCGTTTCTCCGGAACCGCACACGTGGCTGTAAAAACAACATAAACGTGTGCTGTGCTGAGGGGAGACGAAGCTTTGATCGTTCACAGGCGTTTGTTAGCCGTGACCTGCAGGCCTGAGATGATTTTTAATTACTAAAATTTAATCGTGTATAAAAATTTATTCTCCGAATGTTACTTAACCAGGAGTAAGGGTTTTCTCTCTTCTCAGTCCGTCTCATGTTCTGCTTTGTCACAGGAAGGGTGAGACCAGCCTTAGCACACCGCACTGCCACCTGGGCACTGACCGTCTTTCCCTGGTCTTGAGCCACGCACTGGGCTCCGTGGGAACGCCCCGCACGACCACCCGAGTGGGGCTCATCTGTGTTCTCTCGCTCCCTCTGTTAATTCCCTGCAAGACGACCCTGTTGCGGGAGAGTCCTTGATCTGTAGGACGGGTGCACCGTGTCTCTGACGTACCCGGCACCTGCGTGGGTCGTGTGTGGTCCAGCCCCGCAGGAATGTGGCTGTGCGGTCTCCTCGGCCACCGATGGGGGCGACAACACCCACCTCGCGGATTTGGTGGAAAAGAGGGCTCGTGTCACCCCATGCCAGCACTCCGCGTCATCGGGAGGTGTCTGAGCACGAGGACGTTGCCGCAGTGAGCCTGTCCAGGTGTGGGCCGCTTCTGTCCCAGACGCTCTCCAAGTGCAGGTCAGACGTTTCCACAAAAGATATTATCACACAATATCGTTGTTGTAAGGTGGCTCTTCTGACGGCTAACTCCTGTCCTGCCCTGGTCCTCCTCTCCCCTCAGGCCCTGCCTGCAGGTGCTCCCCGCCTCTGCCTGGGGAGCCGAGCTTCTCCACAGGAGCTTCTCCACGGTTCCCGGTCCCGCCTCCACAGGGGGTCCGGCTGTTTCCTGGGCCTGGGGGCCTTCGTCCCCGCGGGCAGCAGCTGTCTCCTCTCTGTTTTTGCTTTTTGCGTCAAGCTGTCAAAGGGACAAAAGGGAACTTGGATGCAGGCCCAGCTCTGGGCCAAGAGCAGACCATTTTGCATCAGGAGGCACGGGAGATGCCTCGCGCTCGTTGCTTGGGAAACCTTGCGGCGCGGGCCACAGAGCTGCTCTGGCAGTGCTCATGGTTAGTTAGGCTGGGTGACGCGTCATCGTGCCGGGGGAGCTGCCGCTGGTGAGCGCACCCTGGTGGGACACAGACTTCACCCCCCACCCCTCCTCTCACACTGCAGGCCTGGGGCCCAGCTGGGTGCCCGGGGGATGGGGCACAGCCAGCACTCTTCTGAGTTTCCTTAAGTAAGTGCGCTCAGAATCACTGCTGCTTTGGATAAACCTCCACCGTTCACCAGCAGCCGGGACGGGTGTTCCTATGCTGTAGGTCTGGGGGCCTGGGGAGCGCGGGCCGCACACGCATCGTGACCGCCTGGTGCATCCCTGTGATGCCTCGGGGCCCACCCACTCTTCCCCAGGCAGGGCTCATGGACATTATTTCTGTCGGTGGTGTTCACAGTAGTGTGGACAATGGATACCCCTTTTTATGGGAATTAGATGGCCACCTGACATTTTTACGGGCGGTGGTCTGTTTCATCTACGCCTACGTGTCATTTCTAAACGCGTCTCTGTTTTTGTCACCACTCAGCAAAAGGACAGTCATTCCAGAGGCTTCAGAGTAATTGTGCTTAAAATAGCTTTTGTTTCAGGACATCTTACAAATCCAAAATTAACCCTTTGCTGAGCTACCTGTCTCCTCAGGCTCATGTCTGCCCTGGTTTGGGCCCAACCAGAGCTTCTGGCCCTACAGATGGGCACCCGGCGCCGGCCACACAGCCCCCGTGCTGCAGCCACGGACGCCATCCCTGCTCCTCGGGGCTCCGGCCTCTCGTGTTCACTTTTCCAGCCTGAGCAGGCCCACCGATCACCTCAGTTACAGTCCCTGGTGTCTGTCTCAGAGCTTCTGTCCATTTTGAGTTTATTGGGTCAGTTGTGTTCTGATTTGGGAGCGTTTCTCTCCATTAGGTTACTTCCTGTGTTACCAGTTTGAAAGCGGGTTGTTTCATAGGTCTTAGGTCACACGTGGCCTCGTCTCGCAGGTCTTTTCCTGACCTCGTGTGTGTGGCTCTGCTTGTGGTCTGTTCCACCCAAACGAAGACTTTCTCATCTCTACATCTTTTGGGGGGTTTCTTGTCTTCTTTCAAACTGCAGGTTTCCCTGAACATAGGCGTGTATATACATACGTATTTCTGTCTACGTTTCTTCAAGTTTCCTTTTGACTAAATGGTGCTGCCACAGGTGTCCAGATGCAGAGTTCATCTCAACCCTGCCTCAGAAATGAACTCAGAGGCCGACTCACAACAGATTGCGAAGAAAACCTAAGTATTTGTGACCTCGGGTTACGTGGTCAGTTTTGTACTGATAGTCCAAAGACCTCACCATTCGGAGTGTGAGAAGCACAAATCTGTGCGGCACACACCTGAGAAATAGTTGCCGTCCGCGCTACGTAAAGAGCTCTCAGGACTGAACGCTCCGACAAACCAGCTCGTAAAATGGGGCAGGAGGTGGTCCACACCATTCGCCCCCAGAGAGAGCTGGGGGGGGGCGTGAGCCGCTGCACGTGGGGCCCCCAAACAGCCCCTTCTTCTGTGCGAATGGGAGCCGGGCATGAGGTCCGCGGGCGGGACCCCCTCAGCAGGCGTGGCCGCGAGCCCACCACGCGCCCGGGTCGCACCGGGAAGGGCACCTTGTGGCTCCTGTGCCCGAGTGCATCCTGGTGCTGCCGGGCGTCCCACGCTCCGCCAACACCGTAACGGCCCGGAGCGGACAACAGCCACGCACGCGCATCCCACGAACGGCGGCGGGCCAAGAGCCTTGAGGCCACGCCACCCTCCAGGGGGCCGAGGGCAAAGGAAGCCTGCGGCCTAAGGCTCGGGGTCATTTCCCTGAAGCATCCCTGTGCTCAGAAACCCTTTACACCGGTTTTGCTTGGATGTTTTCCAGAGACCTCCTAAGGGACCCACCTTAGACCTTAATGGTCAGGTGCTGATAAGAGAAACCCACTTTGCGCCTCAGTGTTGAGCCCGGCTTGTTTTCTGTAACAGCGTAAACGTTTGTTTCCTTAGAAAATATTCAGCCGATGGGAAAATAATAGCCGTTTAAACTTTGGACTGAACGTGTGGCGCTGACAAAGTGCTCTGGTGGGTCGGGCGAGGGCACCGCCGCCCTGGCGGTCACACACGCGGTAGAGCCTGGGGCGCGAGGGGCAGCCCAGGGGGCTGCTCTTTCTGGGTGTCCTTGCCCGCCTCCCGGCAGGCTCCCGGCACCTTGTCTGCCGCAGGCACATCCTCTTCTTAGGTGGGACGGTGACCGATCAGCAACGTGTCTTTTGTTGGTTCCATCTGGTTTTGCTGGCGGTATTTCTCTTAAATAAATTGTACGCCTTTCCTTCCACCAGCACCGTGGTCTCCGATTTCCTGTACGCGTGTGGTTCTTTATGTTGTATGTGTGCTGCGTGTGCCTCGGTATATACACGCGTGTGTGTGGCTGCCGTGTGTGTGTGTGTGTGTGTGTGTGTGTGTGTGTGTGTGTGCGTGCACGTGCCAGAAAATCTTCAGGGCCTGCCTGTGTCCCCACCATCACAGCGCAAGAGACGAGGGGGCTGACTCGTGAGGCTCAGGTGCCCCTGTGTGAGGGGAGACCCAGGGCGGGTGTGTGGTCAGGCCGGTTTTCCTTGGCTTGGGGACACTGCTCGGGGCCAGCGGGCACCTCCTGGGGGAGTGCTGTGCTCGCCGCGGGCCCCGTGCTGAGGAAATCTCGCGGGCACAGTCTGGTCCGAGTCCGCCAACTCTGTCCCAAGGACGGAGGCAGCCACCACCGTCGTGGCATCATTGGTCATCAGGGTAATTCCTCTTAAGCCGCCTAAGGAAAGTGGAGTTTTCAGGCTGGACCGGGTGACGGTTCTGTCTGGTCCCCTGGGATGTGCCTTGGCTTTCGTGTCCGCAGAATGGCATTGGTAGTTCCCACGGCCGACCCAGCCTCTCCAGTCGTGCTTTGCGCATTTGCTCCCGTCTGGTTCTCCTCGGGGCCAATCAGAGGTGACAGCGTCTGGAGCTCTGGGGAGAAGGCATTTGCGAGGGCTCCCCGGGGGAGGGCAGGGGCGGACACAGACAGCAGGGGCACGCCCTCCAGGCCTCCCACCGGTCCGCACTCCTCTCCCCACGAGCCGTACGGTTACGGGTGCTCTGTCACCTCCTCCGGGACTCCGTGACTATCGCTGCCAGGCCACCTCTGGATGCGGGGGCCTGGCGGCATGGGAACAGACAGAGCGTGTCCCGGGCCCTGCACGGTTTTGACCCCCAGCTCCAACTCCTCCTCGCACTGAAACTGTGACAGCGCTTTTGCATCGATGCCCCCACGGGACAGCGCCGCGCTGCGTGGGTGCGTCCCGAGGTGCGTGGGTGCTGATGCGCGTGTGTGTCCCGGTGTGCGTGTGCCTGCCCTGCGAGCGTGTCACGGCATGTGCCTGTCTTGCAGGGGCCACAAGCGGAAGCTGCCCGAGGAGGACACCGGCAGCGCGTCCAGCGGGGAGTCCAGCGGGGAGGACGAGGAGGGCAGCAGCTCGGAGGCGGACGAGATGGCCGCGGCGCTGGAGGCAGAGCTCAGTGACCTCATGTGACCTGCGGGGCGCTCAGCACACACACGCGTCTTGCTCTGGCCCCTGATGGCTCCCGGCCGCACGGGCCCTCGGATGGGGTCTCCTTTTCTCCAGAAAGACGTGTATGTTTGCAGAGCTCCACTTACAGAAACACATAATTTTGCAGAAATAGGTGTTTTTAGAGGTTTTACTACGGAAGGTCTACTTTTCTAAGGGACAGTGTCCCGGGAGGCCGTGTGCCAAAGATGTTGCCACGCCCCTCGCAGCCTCTTGCGGGACGGGTGGGCAGGACTCGGGGCGGCGGGGGCGGGTCCGGGCCAGCGCACGGGGCCTTCCTCCTCCGGGACACGGGTGTAAAGTTTTTGTATATCTATTTCGCATTTGACCCACCGAGCAGATTTCTCTTTCATTTAATAAAATTCCTTTTTATAAGCTCGTTCTTGGTGCGATGCCCACCCCGCCGCCTGTAGGGCAGGGGACACTGCGTGTCGGGTCGCTCCGGGTATCTGGTCAGGCCTTGGAAGTCTGCACAGGATAACAGACCACCTAACCTACCCTTCTAGGCCATTCCGTGGCTGCTAGTCAGGAGTTTCTGCCATTTAGGAGTTTTTCTAAAGCTTGTACCAAAGCATTAACAATGTAAAGGATCGTTGTTATTTATAGTCGCTAAGCTTCATGAGCCTCGGATCTAAGCCCAGAAAACAAGGCAGCTCTGATCCTGGCTGACAAGCTGGAGAACAGGGTTCATCGTAGGATGTGCCCCCCCCCCCTTTCCCTGACAGCTTGATTGTGCATCATCCCTGTCCCTTGGGTCACGGGGTCTGACCCACCGGCCCTGAGTTCATGCAGCTGTAGGAAGAGCTGGTCCTGCGCCCGGTGGCCTTCAGGTTCTGTTGTCCAGAGATGTGTGGGCAGTAGCCTTGGTCCACGATGCCCACGGGGAGGTGCTGGCGGTTAATTCGTCTTCACGCTCCCTTTGAAAGGGCCCCTTGGCACCCTTGCTGCCGGCGCTGTGTGGGCCCGGGGCTGTGGGCAACTCAGGACGTGTTCACGGCAGTTCGGTCCTGTGGGGAAGGCAGGCTGACCTGGGACTGGGGCCAGCAGCGTTACGACAGGTGCTGCTTAAAGACGGCCTCGT